GACGTGCAACCGATACATTCTAATTAACCAATGTCTTGTGTTCGAGCACGTGGGAGTACGCTGAGATTAGCCATCTCGTTGGCAGGCAAAGGCCGAGTTTCGTACGTTCATGCAATAACACGCATACATGTATTCATAATTTTCTCACTGCCAACGTCATCGTTGTCCATCCACTGTGAGCTAAAAGAATTGCCACGCTTCCCCGCCTTGCCTCGCCATCCTGCGGGTTTTCCCCAATACGTCTCACTCCTGCGCATGATCTGATGTCACCGTTCCATCTCCACGGTGTTTGTCCCGATCCATTTTTTTTGTTTTGGGTCGGGCCACGTGGTGGTCGCTTTTATGCAAAAGTTGTTTTAATTGACCTGCCATCACCCGACAAGATATTATTTGCGTGTGCTGATGTATTTATCACATTTTGACCAATTAAGCTCCCTGGAATGTGATAAATACACTGGAACGTATAAATAATGTTTATGAACGTGACAATTGTATGCGGTGCTGGAGCGTAAATGACAGGAATATTGCCATAAAAAACTACCACCACGTGGCACTACCAAAAAAAAACAATATTGCATTGGCGCCGAGAAGCTGAGGTTTTAAGTGTAAAGTCCTCTCGGCCCAGGTCATGATACTGCTAATCCATCACCAGCCTCGACCATCAGCCAACGTCCTTTCTAGCGCTGTGCCCTGCGAAAGCTCACTTGACTTTTCTCGTGAGTCAAGAAGACGTTTCTGATTTGTGTTCGTTCCCTGATCCACGTGGGTCTCCTCTTTCCGTCTCTCGACTCTAATTCTAAGCGTGCACCCTGTCCGTGCTTCTTTGCACACTTTTCATCCTGTTAAATCTTCTCTGGCAGCGTGGTCCTGCTGATATAAACATCGTAGCTCGTGGTACGCTCGGCCTGAAATCATTCTTCTTCTTTGCCTGAATAGCATTCTTTTTCAGGCAGACTAACGAGATACTCTTTAGTTTAACATGTAGGCTTTCGCGACCAATATCATCCATGAGAAGTGTTTGGGGTTAGATGGCGTAAATATATAAATGTGTTGTTAAAACCCGCCACCACCCGACACAGCCAACTAGTAAGGGTTGTCACGTAAACAGAACGTGGCCAATTCGTCACTAGTACAGCACACCGGTGTGTTGGAGAGCCAAGCCACAACATTTACAATCTGAGTACGACGTTTCATTGAATGCCAAAACCAAATCAAATAACACGAAGCATTTAAACTGCCAAAGCAATTAAAACGATCAAAATATTGTACATTACAGGAGTAACTGATAAACTAGCCAGATGTTTGGAAAAACAAAACATCTGAGTCAGATTTGGCACAGAAATGAATAGCAGGTACAAAAGATGTATTACCGAAGCTATCAACAGAAGGTGTGTACAGGATTGAATACACGTGTGGTAAATGTTATGTTGGGCAAACAGGACGAAAGATCAGCACGAGACTAAAAGAAAATCAGAGAAATATTAAAAACTCCCAAATACAACTGTCAGCAGTAGCAGAACACGCGTGCCAACAAGGACACTCAAAACTAGCTACTACTGGCCAAGACTAATTAGATAATCTATCGAAATTTAAAGAAATAAAAAATAACTTTCACCAGTCGGATAGCTTCCACCTTAGTGCTGCGTGGAAGCGAAACATAAAATATGACATTAGTTAAATGCATGCCTACAAAAGGCAGCTTACTTCAATAGGGATTACCGTTGGTACGAATATTTTAATACACACAATAGACAGGAAGGACAAGTTCAAAGGGCTCGAATAACAAGAGCGCAGAAGCGTGGTCACCCAAACTACGCCTCTATATAAGGAATGAAACAGTTAGACTTCTCCACAAATCTGGCTGTTGCCTGATGAAGCTAGTTGTAATTACTGGCGAAACGTCGTACTCAGATTGTAAATGTTGTGGCTTGGCTCTCCAACACACTGGTTAGTGCTGTACTAGTGACGAACTGGCCACGTTCTGTTTACGTGACAACCCTTACTAGTTGGCTGTGTCGGGTGGTGGTGGGTTTTAACGACACATATATACATTTACGCGATCTAACCACAAAAAAACCCTCTATTATGGAGTTACTCTTCCTTATTGAGTTAAACTTTCCCAGAAGTGATCCATCCTGCTCTTGTTGTCCTCTGTGTTGCATCATTGCGATCCCCATCTGCCTTTAGTAATTGCCATGTATTGACACCTGTCACACTGTGCTTTCAACTTGTTGTCACGTCAATAGTTTCAATGGCGCAATGTCCTGAACTTAACGGCAGCAGGAATAACCGAGAGAGAAAAGTTATCCGAAACACGTGTGTACATTTCATCCATTCAAGTGAGCATTTCTTACGTCATGCATGTCACTTTCCCTCAACATTGCGTTAAAGGCTGCATGGGGGAATCTTTGTCTTTGTTGTGTGTGTGTGTGTTTGTATATACAATGGTATGTAGTATGTGCACATGGTCTATATGGATCTAATTAAAACAATGTTAGCCCTTAGTCAATTCATTGTTGCATGGAGGCCTCTGTACACTGCATCAGTCAGAGGGATTTTCAACAATAATAATACTTCACCACGCTGGCGATCGCCCACTCGCAAAGTGGGGGTTCTCAGGACTAGTTCTAATATCACTCGTCACTGATGTTAACCATGGCCAGGAATTCCAACTCAGGTCACCGAATTCAAAGACCGGTGCGCTCACCGCTGCGCCACCACTCCCTCGTGCCCTGCTGTGTATTTGTGGAGATTGGTGGTTCGACGTCTGCACAAGAGGTGGAGGTGGCTTAACGGAGGATTTCATCCAGCAGTGGATTGACCACAGCTGATGATGCTGATGATGAACTGCTTGTTGTGTTTGGTCTGTCGTCCTTCCCCCGCACCTCCGGTTATGCCGACGTTGCCTACGTACGGTGCAACAGAAGTTCAGCGTGCATACGCACACGACGATTATGACGTGAAGTCAAACTGACTTTAGCGCTCAAACTGACTTTAACACAATATCTGCACAATGACACCCTGTCATATTTGCACTATGTTACCCTATTTGCATTTTTGTAATTTTGTATTGCATATTATAGCTATTGTATATTTTAGATTTTATTTTATTCCATTTTTACATACTTTAGCTCCTTAGTATTAGTTAGACTTGTACCTTTAGTATAGTTAGACTTGTAAACCACTTACTTAAGATTTAAGATTCCTAAATGTTGAATGTATGCACCTTCCGGCCAAAGTAAATTCCTTGTCTGTGCGAACTTTCACGCCTTTTCTTTGCACTTGTGTTTCCTACAGCTGTTTCAGTTGCCTGCGAATGACATGGCCCTGGCTTCCAGAGTGGTCCTCGTTGCACCACCGTCAGCAAAAATAAAATGTTGTCAGGGATCCATTACACGGCGAGACGTGGCGAACACTTTCCCAGCGCAGGGAAGAGCTCGCGGTTTTAAATGAAAGCCAAATGTATAAAGCAAATTAATCATTTTACGGACATATGCTCGCAGCAGATAAAACAAATTAAGTGGATGTGCTGCGCTCTTTACGTCTTAACGCATCACAAATAGTAACATCCAGCGCCGGTTTATATTGTACACTGCTGCAGTGTTTTCATTAACCGCTCTGCATGCATCACATGGCGACATAAAACGCCATTTAAATGTACAGTAAAAGCAACGTGGTGGAATAAATAACACGATGTGAGAGTCGTGAATCATGACAACAGGCCACATGACTCTCTCATGCAAGGGCACGAGCACTGTGGGTCCTCGGATTACCCCCCCAACGTGTGTAGATATGACTCAGAGGGACCCCCCCCCCCCCAACGAGTGTAGATATGACTCAGAGGGACCCCCCCACAATGTTTGTAGATATGGCTAAGAGAGACCCCCCCCCCCCCCACAACGGGGGGACCCACCAATATTTGGCGGGAAAACATCGTGGTGAGTCCGCATGTCCTTTGCCCCTTCGACAAAGGTGAAAACGAAAATGTTGATGATGCCAATGACCGAACCTCGAACTACGCCGTGAACGTACAAACTTTGGGCTAAGCATCGGATCCGTACACGCCATCGGCGCAGAGTTAACGTCATTAACATTCGGGAGAACGTCGCTTCTCCGTGACGACGTTGAGAGGGGGGAGGGGTGGAGAACTTCATCTGGTATTGGATCCTTAACACCTGTTTCATGATCACCCCGAGATCTCAATGTCCTGATCGTGCATTGTCTTTGTGCTGTTCGCCTTTTGCTCTCCTCTGGTCTAACTGTTTGAGACTTGGCTCTATAGAAAGATGTCTCTGGTGTGAACCAATCAGTTTCAAAGACAATGCATCATACACTACCAGAGCATGTTTTCTGCTTGCATGTTCACCACAAGCATATGTGGTTAAAGCAGACATGATTCCTTACAAAATGGTTTCTGTTCGGTGTTTAAACATCTCAACACAACTGTTTTATTGCCAGAAAGGTTAAAACCTATTCTTATACTGGTAGGAACCTCCTGGTTACACCAGCCCACAGGGGATTATTGTGTCCGTCCGTCCATCGTGCAGGGAGGGGCTGAGTGGGGAGGGAGGGGCTGGGTGGGGAGGGGAGGGTGGGGAGGGGCTGGGTGGGGAGGGGCTGGGCGGGGAGGGTGGGGAGGGGCTGGGTGGGGAGGGGCTGGGTAGGGAGGGTGGGGCTGGGTGGGGGCTGGGTGGGGAGAGGCTGGTCACCCCGTGGTGCCCTTATAAAACTCAACGTTTCACCTACTCACGCCGGCTTGTGCCCGCCCTCACAGTCGGGCATATTTGCGGAATACACCACGCTGCCGTTGACCCTACCAGCGCCCTCCGCAGGAATGTGTTATTGTGATGCTGGCATGGGAGGTCCCACGATGGATCCTCTCTGTAATCTACCAAGGGGCCACAGGGGAACCGTTCGCGAGTACGATTCAAGATCCGCAGTGCGACTGCGGCCCTGGCTCTGCCTCGGGGGGGGAAGGGGACGCGGTGGCTCTTACATACATTTCTTCCGTGCCGCCCCGCAGTAGTGCCGCTTGCGTCCATCCCCGCCGCCTCCGTCGTCGCCGTCGTCGCGAGGTCCTCCTCCGGCTCGTCGTTTCCCGGTCGGCGACACTCGCCGCTCGGCCGCGCGCCGGTAGAGGACGTGCGGAGGGGCGGCCACCGCTGCCGCCGCCGGCCGGCTGATGTTGTGCTTGCGGGCCAGGTGGTCGGGCAGCGGAGATATGAAATATTCCCCCGTCGATGTGCGTATCAATCCGGACTGCGAAAACAGATCGGTCGGGGGCGGGGTGGGGGGTGGAGGTGGGTTAGGGGGGGGACACTTCAGCGAGTGTCGTCATCGACATCATTTGGTTGTCATCGTTGTGACGATCGTCGCCGTCATCGTGACGATTACCGCCATTGTCGTCGTGACGATCACTGCCATCGTCGTCATGACGATCGCCGTCGTCGCGGTGACGATTGCCACCCTCGTCGCGGTGACGATTGCCACCCTCGTCGCGGTGACGATCGCCGTCGTCGTCGTCGTGACGATCGGTGTCGTCATCGTTGTGACGATCTGTTCACGTTTTTGTTTTTTGTTTGTTGCGGTTGCACCCGATTCAAAAGCCGAATGGCTCACAGGGCTACACCTAAATAAATGAACTTGAACTTGATCACCGCCATCGTCGTCGTGACGATCGTCACCGTTGTCATGACGATTGGCGTCATGGTGATGATCGGCGTCGTCGTGATGATCGCCGTCGTCATGGTGACGATCGCCACCGTCGTCGTGGTGACGATCACCGTCGTCGTGGTGACGATCACCGTCGTCATGGTGACGATCGCCACCGTCGTCGTAGTGACGATCGCCACCGTCGTCGTCATCGTCGCTACCGTTTTGACCATCGTCGGTGCTGTCGCCGTCATCGTACTCAACGGATTTGTCAACAGAATATTCTGACGAGAATCGGTTTTACCCGTTCTGGCAAATAAAAACAGAAGATGTTCAAACACCAAACAGAAACCTTTTTGCAAGGAATCGTGTCTGCATGAAACACGCATGCTTGTGGTGAACATACAAAAAAAACATCTTAACACCTGTTTTATTCATCATACAGGTTTTTTTGGGTTAGATCGCGTAAATATATAAATGCGTCGTTAAACCCACCACCACCCGACACAGCCAATTAGTAAGGTTTGTCACGTAAACAGAACGTGCCAATTCGTTACTAGTACAGCACACCGGTGTGTCGTTCTGTTTACGTGATAAACCTAACTAGTTGGCCGTGTCGGGTGGTGGTGGTTTTAACGACACATTTATATTTATGCGATCTAACCCAAACAAATCTGTGTTATGGATGATATTGGTCGCTAAAGCCTACGCGCTAAACCTGCTTTATTGTCATAAAGGGTCAAATCTATTCCTATTCTTTGATACTGGCAAGAGAGCTTCCATGTCAGACTATCTTTAATTGGCTTTGTCATCATCATCAACGTCATTACCATGACTATAATTATCAACATCGGTCACCATCACCACTGTCATCGCTACTGCCCACCGCGGCCGTAACTGTAATTTTTGTTTCACCAACATCATCATCATCGTTGACAACAAACTGTCTTGTAGTAGTTTGTCCGGAGAAAAAACCCCAAATCACACTATCACGAGAACACTGCGTCCTAACACTCATTCAGTTAAAGAGATAATGTTGCTAAACGGGAACTGTTGAGTAATAATCCCAAAGAAATGTTGATATCGCTCCAGCAAACAATAAGCAATGCTTGCAAATCCAATCATCTTCATACTCATAACAGGCGAGCAGACGATGCAAGTGATTTCATTACATGTGTACAGAAATTACTATAAAACAAATCATGTGATTAATTCCTCGACCCTTGGTAATTACAACAGTCGCCAAAATAAATTGAAAGCAAATTGGCAATTATATGCCGATTTTGACCCAACACCTTGAGCAAATTAAGTCTTGTCCACTTGTTTTTTTTAATATCTCCCCAACTCGATTTACTTCATCCCACCTAGAATCAGAAATAAAACAACTCCACCACCACAGACCGCTTGCTCGAGCACACAATTCAAGTTGCACACAACTTCATGACATTTAGGGAGACATTCATGGGACCGTCACAGCCAGATTTGCTGCATCAAGTGCTCACTTGATGCAGCAAATCTGGCTGTGACGGTCCCACCTGATGACGGAGACTTGTGTTGCCTCCGAAACGTCGTGATTTTTATTTTATTTGACTTTTATTAATTTTAATGTTTTACCTACGTGACTTTACCGGAAAAAACCTAAGAATATGAATCCTTGCAGTCACGAAAGCTTCAAATCTAGAAAGATCTGGGATCCCAGCACGCCCTCTGCACCTCCAATAAGCACGGTTGGTTCCGTACGGTGCAAACAAAGTTCAACGCACACACACACGTACACAATAACGCACAGAAGCACATTTGCATCACAGGGGGAAGTCGCTTTTCTTTTCTTTTTTTACTACGCAGCCATAATCACTCACGATGTAACCAAAGCCACGTGTGGTTCCGTGGTAACATTGGCCAAGAATCACGTATTGCACATCCACAGCGTTAATGTATTTGCATTGTTGCTCTAGAAGAGGTTATAAAACCTACAACTGGGGCAAAGTCAATTCTGCACAACTGGCATTTCTCAGGATTGCAGTGAGATTTTTGGCCATCATGCTTTTATATATATACACATTATGTTGGTATGTACCCCTGTGGGATGACTTCATTTTTGTTATATTTATTATTATTTTTCTTTATCGCGTTTGCCTTTTTAAAATACAGCTGGCATACATTTCTGGGTTGAACTTTGCACTGATGCGTCAATTAAGTTTAGACGTTTGCGGCTGAGGCTTGTGTTGGAACGTATATTAATCATTGTTAGTGGTCCATATATTTTGTCGGGGACAAAAACGAGTCGTTAAAAAACATTGATACGATTCTGCAAAATCACCTGTCTTGTATGTATGTTACTTGTGAATTTACTAAAGTTCCGAGTATGGCATTAAGTGCCACTTAAGTACATTATGGATGTTTTTGTTTTTTATTAACCTTACTCTTTGCTGAGAAACCCAATGTTCATCTGAAGGCAACATTCTTTTGTACGAAACGGAATCTTTCCAACATATTTGTCTTTTTCCCCAATCGCATTCTAAGCTGTGTTATTGGCATCATGTCATGGGGCAAAATAAAACAAAACCTCATCTTTATTTTTATTTTTCTTGCGCTGATTTTCTCTGCATGTGCACCTTTCTTAAGCTCTGAAAGTAATCACTGGTACAGCAATTTACATCTATTTTTTTCTTTCAAAATGGTCATGTTGAAATGAACCAGGTTAACCCTAGAAGAGTCAATACATGTTTTCTCCATGAGTTTCAGAACAAAACGTTATGAGCCCCTCTGACCCAAACCCTTGCGACCTTGGAAATTAGCTCGTGTCCTGCCAGATAAAAAAAAAATTGCGATCCATCTTCTTGTCGTCCTATCTCCTGGTACGTCATTCTACTGTGGAAACCGATAGAATATATCAACAACAATTAGCTCATCCATCAATTGAATTCGCAATTGTTTCTTAGTGATGATCGGTATCGTGGGTTACACTCTACAAGTGACATGTTATAGCTTATGAATATTTTGGGAGAGTCTACAATTGTAGGCCTTGACATTTAGAAAGCATTTGATCATGTCTGACATTCCGCACTATGTTGCCAATCTTCCATCATTTGGCAGCCGCTTTGATCTGAAAGCTTGGATTCTCTGGCGTTCTAACCGATAGGCCAAAACGTACAGTAGTTGATAGTCGCAAAAACTGATACTTTCACCATTAAATGTGGAACTACACAAGCATCTGTTTTGTCTCCAACATGTTTCGTGTCTTAATTAACGATGTCTTAACACTCACAAAACAATGACATACCACGTCATGCATAACACTCATTTAAATGTTGATTTGAAGCTTTCGTGACTGCAGGAATTCATACTCTTTGGTTCTTTCGGAAAAGTCACGTAGATAGAAGATTAATAGATCACGACGTTTCGATCGCAACACAAGCAACCGTCATCAAAGAGTACTCATTTTACATCTTAGGCTGAAAGTGAGTGGGCATTTAGCTGCCAGGCACACAGATAATTCACTATCAGTCACCACTGACTTGAATACGACCGTTAATTGGACTGACAAAATCCTGATGCTCAACGGGAAAAAAAAAACCGTCGATGATAATATCACGTAAGTCCGTCAATTCCGCTGTCAAATTCCTCACGTCATATTAAACGTAGATATTCGTATCTGAAGTTAATCCATTCATATGCTTGGCACAACAATATAATTTGACCTGTCTTGGAATGGCTCTACGACTCATCTGGCTAGGTTCAATTTTTCCACGATAAATCCTCCGGTAACTCTAAAACAATTACTCCTATACAAAGCACTTATTTGGTCTAAACTGGAATCCTCTTGCAATGTCTGTGGTGGAGAAACACAGTTTCTACCTCGCTCGCTCAACAGCGTTGAGTTGCTTTCTTATCACTCATCTATAGCTATGACCAATAATATATGGTCCCTCCCATTGGCTATGCAACTCCGATATGCACGGTTGGCTTAGTACGTACGGTGCGAAAGAAGTCCAACATACATGCACAAAGTTCGGTATCTTGGAGAAATTCCGCAAATAATAGGATCAGTTCAAAGTTGCCAAGAAGCGCTGCTCTTAAAAAAGTCACATAAGAGTGTCTTGCTCAGCGATTAACGAGAACCAGCCTAAACAAAAATGTCTCATGATGTCAAATCATCAGCCCGCATGCACGTTCGCAACCCTGTCTGAATGCTGATAATATAATTATATATGTGTATATAGCACCAATAGAAGGGATGCCCTTTAAACAGATCAAGTCCTCAAAGTCAAACATAAATAAAACCCGGTGACATCATGACACGGTATCATAAAATGCAGGACACGTATTTATCTTGCAATTGATTTGTTTCAAAGATATTTACGTGGGAAAAATCTGCTGAGTTAAAGATGAATGCATCTTTTAAAATACAACTTGTGTCCTACTCCCAGTGAAGAATGATGGATTTTTTTGCAACGAGCTTAAGAGAAAAAATAGAGAACTGACAGTGAAGTCTCCTAAAAATACAGGATGAATATATATTTCAGCATATTTAACTTTGTGTGTGTATGTCTGCTGGGAAAGACTGTTGACACAACTAGATCTCATCTAGAAGACTTCTACAGCAA